TGCAGACCGCAAAGTTCATAGCAAATTAGTTGATTAGTTTAACGTCGCTGCCAAAGAGCCTGTCCGTTTTTTGGTTGGTCGACACCGGCAGGGTGATGGGTGGGGAATGGCGCGTCAGTTGGGTGTTCTATGTGTGTGTGTGTGTGTGTGTGTAGAAGCATTTGATATGGCTGGTCACATTTGCTCAGCTGCAAATTTTATAATTCAATCAGTGCCCTCTACACAAACACGAGCACACAGACAGACAGACTTGGTAATGCGGCAATTTGTGTGAAATTCACCAAGAGCTAAACAGGCTCACAGATTGTGAGTACAAGCGAGGCCTTGATTGAGAGTGGGAGAGTGGGGAACAATTTCGGTAACCTCTTCCCCAGCTCCCCCTCATTGAGAATGTTATTGTGGGGGCCGTGCGAATCGCGTGAGTCAAATGCGTTTTATTGTAAATTTATTAAGCGTGCCCAAGGCGAACATTAAATGCTCAGTTCCGTGACACTGTAGTAGATGCTCAGAGGTTGGGTCGAGAGAGAGAGAGAGACAGAGAGGAAGAGAGGGTAATAAAGATGGGCAAGAACAGGCAGACAATAAAGGAGAATATTGAAATCGACGGCAAGTGGATATGAACGATGGAGTCCCGATAAAGGATGCTTCAAATACGAAAAACAACTACAAAGAGCTCGAGAAATGAATGTTTTCGCCATAAAAGAAATAAATTGTGAATATTAATATATGCGAAGGAAAATGGACAAAATATAAAAGGCAATATACATTGATAAAAGATTCAATTTGGGACAGTACTATTTATATTGACTGTAAACATCAAAATCAAATCAACACAGAGCAATTTGCTCAAAATGTTTTAAGAAGATTTTGCTAAGAAGGAGGAACAGCTGCAAACTTTTAGCACTCTATTAATATTTAAAACACGTATCTTAAAGATATAAAAAATAAATATTAATATTTGTTTATCTGAATAGACATTGATATTCGAGACAAGTATGCAAAACAAGTTTAACTTGAATGCCTAAGCTGCTCTGTGAAGATTGATTGGTATCTCGTATGTATATGCGGGCTGCGATTTATGCCCTATAAATAATTTTAAATATCACAACATGCTGTGAAATTGAAACTCCAATTTGTCTGCGACTGAGCTCTTTTTCAGCAATTTGAAGCATGATATGTAACTGAGCATCATATTATTCTATAAATAAATTGATAGACCAATGTAGCTGTCTCATCTCTCTTATGGTCTTTGCATAAAGCGAAACTCGCTTAGGAAAAATGATCCAACAATCTTGTTGGCCAAAGCGGCTCAACATCGAGTGCACACCATTTACTTAGCCTGGTTTTCAAATTATAAGCCTTTCCGCATATCCGCTCGAGCGGATTGTAAGGGGTTGCTCTGCTGATGCTGCCGTTACTGCCGCTGATGTGGTGAGCTCTAAGCCACATGTTGAAAATAATTGTCATGGCTACCCCAAAATCCTTTGCACAGAGCCATTTAAAACAATTCCAAACACTTTGTGGGCGCTTAACATAGCTGACAACAAATTTGACACCAAAGCCGCTTTAATCAATATAATAAAAGACATTTGTTAAATTAACAAAACGCGTTGCGCACACCAAAAACAACAGCGAAAAAAACGCCAAAAAAAAAACAGAAATTTTAATTAAATTTATAACGCAAAGCCGCAAAGAGTGCCTAGGAGCTCTATGAGGGAGATTTATGAGACCGTTAATTTTGTCAAAGTCTTTCGTGTGCGTGTTGTAGTTGCTGTTATGCTGGTTGTTGTTGTTGTTTTCGTTGGTGTTGCTGTTGCTGACTGTGTGCACGCTAAGTGTCCTGACGCAAAAAGGAGTGCGAGAAAAAACTCACCGGATTTCCTGTGATATGCCACAATATTTTCCATTAACGCTGTGAAGTTGCAGGCAAACACAGCAAACCAAAAACAGACAACAGAAAACAGAAATAGCCGCAAAACTGGAAACTGGTCTTGATAAGACACCAGCAGCAACATCAGCAGCAACAGCAGCAGCAGCAGCCGTAGCAGCCGTAGAAAAAAGCAAGACAAAAATAAGAACAGCAACAATAACTGGCAACAGACGGCGAGAAAAAACGAAAAACAAAAGCATCGGGCAAAATGTGCGTTGGTCCAGAGCACAGGCAGCAGCAACAGCAACAGCAACAACAGCAGCCGATTCCCGGCCCAGGTTCAGGTTTTAGGTCCAGGCCACTTCACAATGGATTGTCTGTGGATATCGTTCACTCTCTGCAGCACACATACGGCGTGGATAGGCTTTGCCTGGTGTGCGACAGTCGCTGGCTTTATATGAGTTAATGACTTGTAGATAGTTTAACTTACCAGGCAGACGAGGCTGGCAGAGTGAGCCAGATAGAGTGAGAAAAAGTGAGAAAGAGGATTACGAGCAGTACAACAGGGACTAAAACTGAGAAAGATGGGGGAGGGGAGTTCGTTGCGTTGACCATTAGTGCGACATCCGGCGTTGCGCTTCGCTAGCTATTGCCACACGTAGATGCGACAGTCTCCATGCTCGCAAAACTATTAGCAAGCTTTGCAACTGTAGCCGGCCAGCTCAGACACTCACTTAACTTGTGGCCGGGTGAGTTCAAGTCGAAGTCACAGGATCGCCACAGGAACGGCAGCAAACACATCATCATCGAAATCAGGCATCGACTGGCATGGAACGGTTTTGTGGTTAAGCTGTTAGTTTAGTTTGCGTACAATTTGTGGGCCCAGTTGACAATTACTGACCATTTGTGAGAGAGTGCTGCCGTCCCTGCTGTCACTTGCTACCCTGACCACTGTTCACTGGCCAGAAAACGCATGAATGAATGAAATGGTAAACCGGTTTACTTTAGCTTGCCTTCTGTTCTGTCTTTCATTTACTTTGCACTTTACTTCACTTTACAGCTTGTGTATGTGTCTTTTTTTCTCTCTTCTTCTTGTTCTTCTTCTGTGTTTGCTGCCAGAGCTTCCTACTGTCACACTTCAAGGATTTCTTTGTTGGTCATCCTGCCTTGCATATGTGTGACAATTACCCACCTCTTATTGTCTTGCATGTGCTGTGGTGCACACACATACATACATATATACCTATGCATATGTATGTGGATGTGTGGGGAGGGGGTTGAAGGCACCTCGTAATGACACTAAATGAGTTGTAGCCAACCGGAGACGGTGCCAGGGCTTGGCCTCTGTTTTTGTCGTCGTCGTCGTCATTGTTGTTGTTGTTGTTGTCATTGTCGTCGTCGCAAAAACTTGTCAAGTTGTGCAGTTTTTCGTTGTTGTTGCTGTTGGTTAATTGCTACAGGAAATGTTCTGGCTGTGCAGAGTTGGTCAACTGACGCTTCGTCTCTGGTCTTAATTGCTTGAACCTTGGGGCAAGTTAATGCAGCCTTATGCAAATTGAAGCGCGCCCCCAAACAGAGCAACCATCAACTAAATAAAAAAAAAAGAGATAAAAACACGGAATGACTAACTTGCAACTGCGGGTGGTCTATTTGTTCTTTTTCCGTTGTGACCAAATCATATTCAATGGATAGCTCCATTTATGCATTTGTCGTAGATGTTATATGCATGTAGTTCAATTCGTGATCAAGTCCAACGGATATCGAGCTCATTTCAAGACCATGAAAGCCTCGCTTGCCGTTGTCTACGACAAATAATCAATTAATCCATTGATGAAGTCCACGACAGCGACGTTTATTTGTTGAGCCATTTGTAGGAACGTCTCACGCAGCGCTTGCTTGCTGGCTTGGATGTTTGCCGTAGCTGGTTCCTGTGCCGCACAGTGGCGCAAAAACAATGCAATCAATTATACAGATATGTTTAAAAACAAGTTTAAATGTGCTGAGAATTTGATTGAGCATTCACTGCTACTAATTGAACTCGTTTTGATTGGCAAACCAAGTTAAGGCAACGAGCTGAGAATTATGCGTTGCTTGATAAATGAAAATTTATTGCAGTTTTGCTAAACTCTACAATTCCCAATTGAAATACGAACTGATTATAAATTTATAGTTTTTGTTTTCTATGATAATCTATATTAAATTGGCATTTATTTGTTTTATTAGCTTGTGCAAAGTTTTGCACTCAATTTTCTTTAAGCATTCCACAGCCCAGTTATTCGCTTCAAGTTTTCTATGACCCCGTGACACTGTGCGTGCTTTTATGTATATTACCTATGTAGATGGCTCTAATGCTGATTAGGTCGACGACAAAATACACACACACAAATGTACACAACACACTCACACACACACACACACACGAACACACACACACACACACTTAAGCACATACACAGCTAAGTAGTCGGTTCAATTTGGTATCGAACGTGGCCTGCTCTTTTCTTTAAGACATTTTAATGCTAATGAGCCGCAAGCTGTAGACCTACTTCGATTCAGCGTGTGGGTTGATGTAGCGACACACAGACTGGCAACGTGCAGACCATGATGAAGACAGCAACAGCGACAGCGACAGAGACGGACAGACTAACAGACGGACGGACAGACGGACATGTCTCAATGACAGGCTGAAAGTGCCCTGACACATACATACACCTACAAGCACACACATGTCTCACATGTGTGTGCGAAACAAATAAAAACAAAAAAATATATATAAAAAAAAACAAGAACAACAACAACAACAACAAAAACAAAATAAAAGTTGTTCCAAATTAGTTAGATGTGACTGGGCTGCCTCGTTGGGTCTTACGCTTAAGTAATGTGTATTTTATGTGTGGGCTGCAAAAAAAGTAGGTAACTGTAACTGTGACTGTGACTGTGACGCTGAGTGTGACTGTTGGGTTGGCTGTGTGACAGGTCGATTCGTCGATTGCGTTGCCAATTGAACTTAGGTGCTCTGCATGCTGCCGTTGCCCAACTACGTGCGCAATTGTCGAACGTGCCGATTAACAACAGGCGAATTTCCTATTCACTCTACGTGTTTTTTTTTGTTGTGTTTTCTTTGTTTTAGTTGGCGTGAGCTGCAGTGCCCAGGTAGCCGCCACTCAGCAAAATTTCCGCGTAACCCCGCACGATCTGCAAATACTGGAGGGCACCGATACGCTAATGCGCTGCGAGGTCGATTCGCGCGCCGGCAAGGTGCAATGGACCAAAGATGGCTTTGCGTTGGGTTTCTCCGCTGTTATTCCCGGTTTTCCGCGCTACTCGGTGCTGGTTGACGCATCACATGGCTCGTATAATTTGCAAATCAAGAACGCCACGCTCGAGGACGATGCCGAGTACCAGTGCCAGGTGGCACCAGCCCCTGGAAATCCGCCCATTCGCGCCAATGCCAAGCTGAGCATTGTGGCAGCGCCCAGCAGCATTTCCATCGATGGCTATGCACGCAATGCCAAGGTGGAGGTTGTCGAACGCCAGAACTTAACGCTACAGTGCATCACTGAGAACGCTAATCCGGCCGCAGAGATTGTTTGGTTTCAGGGCGAGACACCGCTAACTATGGGTAAGTCCAGCATTTGACTTTAACTTAAAGTGAAACTTGTCTAACTTGGCTTGGGCGTTCATAGTGCCCATTGTCACAGTGAATGAAACCTCTGTCAAGCGCTTCCGCACCAGCTCCACGTTGCACTTGGAGCCACGTTCCGATGATGATTATAAGGAGTTCTCCTGTGAGGCGCGTCACAAGGCACTGCCTCCCGACGTGCCCATGCGGGCTCAAGTTCAGCTCTCTGTGCTATGTAAGTGAAGAAACTAGTCAATAACCCCATCGACATGGACTCACTCAAGTCTCCCTTCCTAATCAGACCCACCCGGTCCGCCATTCTTTGAGGGCTATAGCCAAAGTGAAACTTTGCGTCGTGGCCAGGAGGTACAAATCGCCTGTCGCAGTCGCGGCGGCAATCCGCCCGCTCAGCTGATTTGGTATCGCAATGGTGTGGTCATCAATTCCCCACAACGCACCTCGGGTCGCCTCTCGGAGAATGTGTACAAGTTTACGGCCAATGCCTCGGACAATGGTGCCAATTTGGTTTGCGAGGCCAAGAATCTGCTATCCAATACGCCCCTGCGTGCCGAACTCAATCTGACTGTCTTATGTAAGTTGCACAGATCGTCTCCAGCTACGCGACTCCTTGTAACCTCCAAATATCTTCGAAATAGACGCACCAAAGGATGTTTTCCTCAGTGGAGCTAGCCATGCTAAGGTCGGCGATGCTGTGCAGTTGAGCTGCGTAACAGCCCCCTCGAATCCACCGGCGCGCATCAATTGGTCCATGAACGGAAGACCGTTGACTAACAGCACGTTCAAGACGACAACTAGCGCCGATGGTGGCTGGGTGAGCAGCTCCAATATAACGCTGAATATTGATTCGCAGAGTCGCACCTTTATTGCCGTTTGTCATGCGCTCAATGCGGAGCTGTCACAGAATGTGGTCGGCTCCCATACGGTGAATGTTTTGTGTAAGTAATACAGCAATCCATTGTGATTTAGTCTGCTTTAGCCGCCTCTGATTCCATAGATCCTCCATCGCCGCCCTTGTTGACGGGCTATAACGACGGTGATATTATCATATCCGGTTCAATACTGAAACTACAATGCAGCTCCGCTGGTGGCAATCCGCCGCCCACTTTGCAGTGGTATAAGAACGATAAGCGTTTGAATGCCGCCTCGAAGGTAACGGAGAATAAGATCAGCTCGGAATTGTCGTTGCTGGTGAATGCCTCTGATAACAATGCTATCTACAAGTGTGAGGTTCAAAATGCTGCCATCGACATACCGTTATTTGCGACAAAGACGTTAGGCGTGCACTGTAAGTATTCTTCATTGACTAATCTAGATGTTCCCTCAACTCTTCAATATTTTCGCTGCCCATTTAGTTCCACCGGAGACAGTGAAAATTAGCGTTGCGCCCAAGAATCTTGTGCCCGGTATTCGAGCCAAACTGATCTGTGATTCCAGCTCCAGCAATCCACCAGCCAAGATTAGCTGGTGGAAGGATGGCATCCCAGTGGAGGGTCTCAATCTGGCCAATAGGCCAGGTCTCTGGGGCGGTTCGGTATCGACGCTGGAAATGCATGTGAACATTACCCAAGATCTCGATGGATCCATTTACACCTGCCAGAGTCACAATGAAGTACTGCAGCGTAGCGTGCACGAGACCATCAGCCTGGACATACTCTGTAAGTGCTCAACTAACATCTAACAATAGGCCCAGTCTAAATAGCAAACTCCGTTGTGAATAGTTCCGCCCAAGTTTGATGTGGCGCAGGTGACCAACTTTGTGGGTGTGGAGGGTGCACCACTGCAGGTGGAATTGCATGCGAGTGGCAATCCAATGTCGATAAGCTATACCTGGACCAAGGATGGTCTGCCCATTAGCAACAATGCCCTCAGCGGACAGCGTTTGATCTCCGACGGACCCAGTCTCAATATAAGTCGTCTCAGTCGCAACGATGCTGGCATCTATGTGTGCGAAGCACTCAACACACAGGGCACAGCTATGCTCGAGGTTCAAGTGATTGTCGAATGTAAGTAGTTGTCGCCGAAGCAAAGCCCGAACAACAACATGTTACCCCGTTACTGAAATGTACTCTTCGCAATTAGATGCACCCGTGATTACCTCAGTCACCGAGGGTCAGAGTTTTGCCTCTGGCGTACAGGCTGTTCTGGCTTGCCAAGTTCAGGCCCTGCCATTGGATGCGTCACATGTGCATTGGTCACGACCCGGTTACGATTTTGCCACACGTACCACTTCAACATTTGAGAACAACACTGCCCTGTTGCGCATTGATAATGTTCAGCGTGGGGATATTGGTAATTTCACTTGCACTGTCGACAATCAACGGGGACCGGCTGCCACACAGCACGTGCTGCTCGTGGTACAAAGTAAGTAGTCGAGCCAAACTCAAGGTTTATTCTCGACAGCAGCGAAACTTCAACTTTAATGTTTTTTTTAGCCTCCCCGGAGATTGATCATACACCCGCCTACACACGCTTTGCCGCCCGTCTGGGCGTTCGGGCTCAGCTCATTTGCCGCGCTTTGGCTTCACCGCAGCCCAGTTTCATTTGGCGTCGCCATGGCAAGGATCTCAAGATGCAGCGACGCAACAAATTTACAAGCGTCGAGCGTCAGGAGGATCCACTGCACTTTGAGTCCGCACTGCTCGTGGAGAGCACCTCGGCGGACGATTACGGACAGTACGAGTGTGTGGTGCGTAATTCGATGGGACAGGCCAGCACCACACTGGAGTTCAGTAAGCCATCCCGGCCAGATGCGCCTCTGCAGCTGCGTGTAGGCAATGTGAGTGATGCGAGTGTGGAACTGATGTGGACACCTGGATTCGATGGCGGCATGCAGGTGTATTATCGTGTACGCTTCAAGCAACAGGGTGAGGATAAGTACAAGTATGTGGACGCCAAGGTGGGTCAACAGAACATCACGTTGGAGGGTCTCAAGCCTGGCGGCACCTACTACTATTCCGTGATGGCACACAACGAGGCAGGTGGCAGTAAATTTGTGCCAGATATTAAGCTGACGCTGTCAAAGGGTTCACAGCCACATTCGGCGGAGTATACGGAAAAGGATGAGCTGCCCAATGTGATGATCATTGGCATTACATCGGCAGCGATGGTGTTGCTTGTGTTGAATGCTGCGCTTGTCGCCTGGTTTGTCATACGACGCCAGAATAAGACACAGGGCGAAACGGAACCAAGCAACGATGATGCCTACTCCAAGGATGATAACCAGTCGGTCTATAAGGTAAATAAACATCAGCTAATTGCAAATATTGAACTGCAGAACTGATTGGCCTAATCCTAACCAGCTGCCCATCACTGCTTTGCAGGCGGATGTGCAGAAGAAGGCAGCCGCCTCCACCTATTTAGTGGAGAACGTGGACATCATACAGTCGACAGCTTATCCGCCCAAATACCAAGAGAGCTCTATGTGCACTCCACCCTATCCGCTGTGCAATCCGGACTTCACCCGCACCCTACCCAATCCGAAGCGGCACAGTCAACGCAACAGTGCAACGGGCATGATTGATGGAATGCCGATGCGTGCCAAGGATGATCACATGCTGATCTCCAATGGCCTCTATATACCATCACCTTCGCCCGCTTCCTCGCTGGTCATCAAGGGCAGCTACATATCATCGCCATCGCCAGCGCCGCCAGCCGATGGCTCCTATTTCAATATGAGCGACAAATACATGTCCTATCCACCAGTGGTAAGTTTAAAAAGAATCTACTCGCAATACTCTAAAATATTAGACAACATTTTATTACCTACTGTCTAACCTCATTAGCGAATTCCAAAGCAGATTAGTTCATCTATCTGAAAAATAAAAGTAGTATTCACCCGCACAAATTATATGCTTGTTGTGTGAAAAATGATCTCGAAGTGAATTTCAAAGAATATTAAAATTAATGAATATAATTTTCAACAAAAAAACCTTTCCACACTTCGTAGAGTTGCCCTTAGTTTGAGTGTTGCTATTGATAATGGCTAATTAAATTTAATACCCACTATTTTTTTCTCCCATTTTTTGTCTTCACTCTAATTTATCTGACAGACCTACTAAAACAGAGCAGTGCGTCAAAGACGAAGACAACAAGCACCAGCCAAACTCCAGCTAGACTGATTGACAGCACAAAACAACAATAGCACCAACAACAGCCAAAACATCATCGGATACATTGAAATTGAATTCGAGTCAATTTCAGTCAATAGGATTTCTGATTTTGTGTTTTATGTTTTTGCTTTGGGTTTTGTTGATGCTGTTGCAAGTTTTATGGATTTCTGTTTATAATTATTACTAAATGACGTTGATTATTATGGAGCGCAAATGGTAGAAACATGTTGAATGTATTTTGAGAAAAGACATTTGCATGCGGCGCTCGAAGGCTGTGATAAGTACCTGTATCCAAGGCTCTCTCAACTCCATTCGGTCCGACCGCATCACGATGGCCAACACGCACATCAAATGTTGGATTCACATCAATCAATGCAACCGATGCCGATGGCAATGGATTTGCCTTTGGGGCAGGTGCGCAAAACCCACTCTACAAATGCTTGCCCCCTCTCAACACAAACAAACAAACCGACAAACAAACAACAACAACAAATACAAAAATATAAGAAAAAGCAGCATCATTCGTAGAAAGAACAACACAAAAAACTCAAATATTAATTTGTAGGCATTTTTCTCGATATTAAGTAGTAGCAATTACGATTTTTAGCATTTAGCATAAATATTAACGAGTCTGTCGAGTCGTGACTCATTCTCATTAGCAGTTGTTCAAGTTTAAGCTCTAGACATACCATATATAATCATACAAACACACAGACATACATATATATGTACAACCCTAAGGCCCGATAAGCGTAACGATATTAAACAATTAATAGCATGCGATTCGAAATCACAATTAAATACCAGAAAATCTTCAAAGCATACATCAATTATAAACTAATTTTAAGCGTGATTGTCGTTAAATTTAAGTGGCGATTAGTTATACATATAAGTGCATACAGATATACATACATATACATTTACACATACATATATATATATATATATGATATACCATATTTACACAAATTCAACGACTTTTTATCATGCATGACAATAAATTATATACATGATAAAAAATGCGTAAACGCGCAAGCGCCAAAAATTATGCTAAACATAACAGAAAAGCTAAAATGGAATAAATTGTTAATTCAAGATAAAATTCAGATCTAGATCAGGATAAGCATGTGTACCATACAAAATCAAATTTAAATAAATTATATATAATTAATGTAATAAATATTTAATGCATTTCAAATCATAGAAAAAAAAAATCGAAAAAATACATTAAAAAACATCATACAAAAACACCCACAACAAATTTTTGTAACTTTAAAGAAAAGTATTTGAATAAATAACTTACAAATTTTTGAAAATTATAAAATCTACATATTTTAATTCCAAATACTAATTTGAGGGTTTTCTTTTGGGTTTACCCGTTAGATACTTAACGCCCACGATTGCCCGTGGTTGCCCCTGCCACCTGCTTCATTAAGCCGCCGAGCTGCACAAATTTGTCTATTGCCATCAATCAGCGCTTGGCTTTGTTCATCATTCTTGAGCCACCATTTTTGCTGCGGGCTATATTAAGTAGGCGTGCCGACTTACACCTTAAATGCCGCCTAATTGTTTTTCGGGGCCAGACTTAACGGCGCTCGAGTCGGCTTTTTGTTTGGAAATTGTATTAATTAATAGCGTTGCTGGTTCGTTTAATTAATGACAAATTTAATAATATTTATTTCTTAATTTTTGGAGGCTGCATTAGCGGATCATTGAATTAGTCTGAGCCAGCTTTCACTGCCCCCAGAATAAAGCTTTTTACTTGCCAGGTGGTCTACGATGAGATTAATCTGAATCTGTAAAAAAGAAAACTGTTAATATTGGAAACTCAAATATTTATAATTTTTAATTTATTATTGTGCATGACATATATAAATTATTGCTGATTTTATTCACATGCATAAGCATAAACAACTATTTTACCTTTTTTTTTAAGATGCAGAGCACATGTTAAATTAAAAATATTAATGACAATATTCATTTTTTTGCTATTTTTTTTTGCCATTTACAAAAACATTCGTTTTGTTTTCTTTCAGTTGATTTTATGAGGATAGTTTGCACGGATGCCGCGTCTGCAAAATGTTAATAATTTATAATAAAAATTGAAATTGAAAAAAAAACGTTTAAACTGCAATTGCTAGGAACTTGATTTGAGCATAACAGGAAATGTTTTTATTATCAAATAAAATAAATGTTGTTTTAATTACCATGTTGGCTGCTGTCATTGCAACATTCGCTGCCATCCTATTCTGTATTCCTATAATAGTCTCGATTGCACTCAGAAGCAAATAACAAAAGCACAATTAAAATTAATTTTCAGCATGTTTTAAGTGCGTAGAATGAGTGTCAACAGCAGCAACAACAACAACAACAACTTCAAAACAAAAGCAATGCATAATTAAATACAGTGAATTCATTAAATTTTAATTAAAACATTTGAACGGGCAATGGATTTTTATTTTACTCTAGTCTACAATAGCAGATCAACAATACACTACAACGTCGATACGCGTATACTCTTTATCCAAATAATTAATTGATTTATTTGATTATGTTTCAAATCGAATATGATTATTGTGTACACTTAGAGAGAGTTTAGAGATGAATATTCAGCTACTTCATATTCATTGGTATAAATGGGTGTAGGTGGTACGAATGGCTCACAATACATGTCAACTCCACAAAATTGTTGTAGTGTATAATACGAGCTACCTACGACAAGAGCTTGGAGCCAAGACAGGCAGCTAGCGTGGCCAATAGCGGCAAGAAACGGAAAACTTCATTAAAAGTGGGCAGCAGTTGGCAGCAGCCGTTGCCAACAATTCAGAAAGTTAGATGCGGAGGGGAATTGCTGTTGGGTTGTGTGTTCGCTTTAGTTCTGGTTATGTTCTAAGCACTGACTGCCAATGTGACGACACCCGGCTCGACTTCACTTCCTGTGCTTTGCTGTCCAGTCCACTCTCTGGTCGCCAGCCCCAAACTACAAGCTGACTGCAATCGAACGCATAATCATATTTAATAAGCGCGTCGCAGTCAGCAATAGAAAAGGCTTCGTTCAGTTGCTGTTTCTCGTGATGGCTGTCTGTTGTTTTTGTTGTTGTTGCTGCTGTTGCTGCTGTTGCTGTTGCTGCTGTTGACGATGATGCTGATGCAACAAGTGCGGCCAGAACAAGGCACAGATGTGCAGAAAACCGGTTCATGTTAGCAGCAACGCTTTAGCGCAATTTGTTAACCTGGCTGACAAACTGTTGCCTGCTGCTGCTTGCTGCCTGTATGTGCGCCTTGTCTTCCCCCTAGTACTCTCTGCAGCTGACTGCTGTAAAAAATAGGTGCGAGTGCAATTAAGAGCCTGTCTGACCAGTTCCGAGTGAACGTAAACGAGTCGAATCCTGGCCGGCAGCGAGCACTTCATTCATAAAATTACGCGCATGTTACGTGATGTTGACGCTAGATAAGAACCACAACCTCGTCCACAGTGAGAGCCAGCTGGAGCCTGGAGCCCGGAGCCCTGCCCAGTTAGGGCCAATGCCAACCTGTTGATGTGCTGGCCAGCTTGCGGAAAAATACTTATATATAGATTACTTTGATTTCAGGCAAGCCTGACTGCTTGACTGCCTGCCTGCCTGACTGGCAGGAAAAGTGCAGCGGCATAAAAAAAAAACTCGCTTTTCTTGGTAATTAATGAAAGCTGCCACGGCTCAGGCTGACGCTAAGGCAGAGGCAATAACAACTGCACCAGCTTAGCTACTGTTGCCGGCAGTTATTAAAATGTTGCGATAAGTTTTGCCACGGTCCCGGGCCGAGACACATTTGTATGCAAAATGCCAACAGATTTTGATGATGCGACGCGCAGGAAGTTGTCGCTGAAAGTGATATTGAAAACTGCTGCAGAATGGATTACTTCCTTTGGCCACAGCCGCAACCAATGGATCCCCAGGTGCCGGTGTATAATTCAGCCGGTGATGATTCTTTGCTTACGATTAAAAACACTGAAATGCGCTTCAAACTTTCAGACTGAATGAAGTCTAAGAGGATTCTGACGAAGAGTAGCTGCAAATAGCGAAAATGGTTAAGCTGCAGCATTTTTAATGACAACAAACTTAAAATGCGAGCAGATTGGCGTCAGACTAAGCTTGAAGCTAACAGACTTAATACAATGTACTATTAGTATAAATAGGAACGACGCAAAATAGCTCACAAATTCTCAGAACTTTTAGGCAAGATATTCAGCACTTGAGGCGAATTTCTTTGAAGATTCGTGGGTCCCAAGCCGAAGCAATAAATATAATTTCTTTCATTTGCGGCACTTGACGCAGAACTTGAGCTTTTCTCACACCTCCCACCCAATGGGTTGCAAAGTCGATGGGGGATGGGGTGGTGGCGCTTGAAAAGCCCGCATGTCTTGGCAATCAACTGCCACGCCATTTAGCATCATTAAATTAGTAGGTCAAAACATCACCACAGGCCATAAAAAAATGTCACAGCTTAGAGGAAAAATGCACTAATAACAAAATCTACAGAGAGGGGAGAATAACGACGGGGTTGTAAAAAAAAAGTGATGTGGAGATAGAGAAAAAGCCATTTAAAAATGTGGAAGCCAGCGAGAGTATTTAAAATGTGTTCTGTCACTCCCGAGTAAAATGAAAAGTCAAGTTGGACTCCCCCAGAAAATGCTGTGGTCTCCGACATTTGTCAGTTGGTGTACATAATCTGTGACACAATCGTAAGCAGCGTAATTATCTATGTCAACGAAGAATTTTCTCAGGGCTTCATTCTCGGCTGGAAACTCAAGTGGCCAATGGCCAGCAAAAATTGTCTTTCGGCAATTGGAACGTTTAACAATTGAAAATGTTGATGCGTGTCTCTGCGGCAGTTATGTAATTTTCAAGATGCGCCACAAAACCTAATGACAATTTTAATGCGCCACTCGTTTTGGGACCTGGGGGGCAGAGCCAGACACATGTCGACAAGCAAACAAAACAAAACAAACAAACAAACAACACAACACATTGAGACGCCTCTGGAGTGCGTTGGCTGTGTCTGCTAGTGTTTGGGTGCGTATATATCTGTGTGTGTGTGTCTGTGTGTGTGTGTATGTGTGTGTGTGTGTGTGTGTGACCTTTAAGAGCAGTTGGAGCCGCATTCGGAGTCAGAGTCGCGCTTAGGGCCAGAGTTGGGAGTCTGAGTGTTGCATGTGGCCCCCATTTCAAGTGGCAAGCTGCTTGGCTGTTTTTTAAGTTATTAAAAAATTAAAGCAGAAAAACTGTTGCTGCTGTTTCTATTCATGCCGTGAAGGGGGCTGAGCACATTATTCACTCATTAAAATCATCAGTTTAATAGCCAGAACATAGCTTGAGCACAAAAAAAAAGCGAAATTATATTTTTTCCACAAGCTGCTATAAGGAATTATTAACTAAAAATGGTAGACAAGATGGTAGACATGTAATAATACAATGTATAGTGCCATAGGATGGAGAAAAACAGCG